CCCCAAAACCCCAAAACCCCAAAACCCCAAAACCCCAATAAGCATAAATTTTACTGAAAAATCTGAAATGGAGCCTTCTCGACCAAAGTCATTGATCTTGACTAAAATTAGTTACATTAGTCATATTGTGAAGTACTATGGCTACATCCACGAGTGAGCGAAGCTCTTCAGATCTCTATGTAAAGCTTCTAAACAAGAATGGGATAAGAACCAGAGAGCAATCGTTAATATTATCATGAAAAACGAAGAATCGAGGGCAATAATGGACTTTGGAGGACAAATTAACAAATTAGTTCTGAATCATTTGCTCAAAGGAGATGAGTTCATCTACTACAAAATTTCAGTTATCCTAAAAACCCGCTATGATTTTAGACATATGGCTAAATTCATAAGCCGAGTCCATGCTCGAAGCACTGAGTTAAGAATTCTCATCCCAAACTTGTTTAAGAAGATTATAATAAACTGCAGTGAGGATGGTGAAAATCTTCTTTCATTCGTCAAAATTTACAAAGAGTTGGGGTTCAACCTGGATAACCTTGACTTCATTTGTATTTATGAGCTCCGATTCATGATTGATACCCTACAGTATGAGACTACTCTAAGTAATCACTATGTTTGAAATATTTAACATTTTCAGTGAAATTTATAAAATATATTTTGTCAAAAATTATTATCATCATAAATTTGTCCCTAAAAGTTTGTCCAAAAATCTTTAATTTATCAGTCAAAAATAGCTTTCATAGAGTTTTGCTGCTTAAAAATGTATATTTGAACCATCAACACTAAAAGTTTTCTTAAGACAAAGAGGTTTGATATCTGCTGTTTCATGTTTATAAATTCTAATAGCTCTAGCCGATTTACTAACTTGCATTCTCATAATTTGAAACAACTTTTATATTGTAGAACTAAGAGAGGCTTTTACCTGAAAATTAAGATGTATTTAAGACAAATTCTTTTAATTATGACTGGAGAGTTGTTTTCCAGCTTTTTTAACTGACAACCTTTGAGCCTAATTGAGTTATACAGAAATTATTATCTGAGGTTCCTTACCAGCGCACAACATTTAGTGATTACTATATAGAACACTGAGAGAAATCTAGCAGATGAAACACTATGTATATCGATAGAATAAAGCTGACAGAGGACTCCATTTTGCTAAATTACGATGAGTGAAAAGTTATGTGGCTAAATCTTCATCAAACAGATCTCACTGTCCCACTTAAGAAGACTTTTAAAATACTCAAGTTGAAATTCTCGTATTTCCCTTTACTAATAAGGGAGATTGAGAGGCTGAAAATTAAGAATGAAGTCTGCCACTCTTTTAACATTTCTGGAACATTTGACAGGTGAGTTGGTATGGATTTTTCAGAGAAGAAAGCACCCTTAGAAGAATTCCTTATAAACTGAAACTCAGCACTGAAGTACTTTCCAAAAGTTACTAGAATTATCTTAGACACTTTTGATTCTATGAAAATGTTTATTAACTGCAGGTTCTTCACTAAAGATTGGGATGAAAACTACAAAAATTGTCAGAAAATAAACTCGCTTTGTTACAGTTCCCAACAAATGGATGGGTCTGAGTGATTGATCCTGAACAAAGTTAATGTTGAATTCATCATGAAGGTCCCTAGCAAAGACACTAAAAGTGGCAAGTTTGTTATACTCAGAGCTGATATATTCTCAGTCACTTGCTATGCTTACTCCTGATTCGAGAAGATAGACGATGCATTGCTCTTAAGATTAGTTCCTGAACAATATTTGTGGTAATATCTATTTTTAAGGAATTAATAACTTATAACTTAATTTTAGGTTGCTATTTCTTCTCCCTGTTTAATTTTTGAGAACTCTAGATTAAATATTTTGGAAATCTTAGAAAATGAATTTATTAATAAATACAACTGAAATTATGGTTCTGATGTAGTGGAAGACTTCCTTTTTCATTACTGAAAAGAGGACTCAACTTGTTTTAGATTTATTAGAAGCATGGAATTATTATAATTATTCTTAGAGTTTCTTAATCAATACAAACTTTCTTATAATTTGACTTGATGAGAACTCTAATAAAAATAGGGTTCTTTATAGACGATTAAAATAAGGCAATCATGGGAGTAGAATACTGCATTAATCTTTGATTTTTATGATAAAATCTTACTTCTTTGGCTTAAAATTTTAACGTAGAAGATTATCTAAAAACTACCTTCATTGTGCCTATTTTTAGACCAGCAAGGAAATAAAATTGTTTCAAAACTCATACAATACATGAAGCTAAGCATCGAAAACTTTGAGTTAATCTGTGATGAGAAAGTAGCTGAAATGGATGGAAAATATTGAGACGTCATCAAGAAGCTATCCGTTGTTGATGGACTCAAAGTAGGGGATATCTGAGTCTTGGATGTCCAACAAAAGATTCCTAAGCCTAGTTATGAATGTATAATGATAACTACGAACATTTGTAAGTAGCAACTTATTTCAGTGAGAATTGAACTTATTTCTAGGGTTTGCTTGAAACTTTAATAATTTTTAGCCCAATTTTGAAAAGAATCAAATCAAGATATTAGGGAGCTTGAGATCATGCAAGAGGCCAAGTTTGAACAAGAAATAAGAAAATGTAGTACAAGCTACAGAATTCAGGCTTTTGTTTTCTTGCTTTCTAAGAAAAATAAATGAGTTATGTTTAAAAATATCTCTGAAATTGTTAAAGAGCTGAAGAATCAAATAGTATCGCTTCATTTTGTCGATAAATTACAACAGCCTCTTCATTTGACAAGTCTTGATGAAATATTTGGAAGGTCTAGAGCTTTTGAACCCTCAGATAACCAAAATAGTGGAGGCTCCAAAGATGAAGAATCTAAACTTCCCCTAGATGGCATAAATACAATCAAAATGAATGCTTGCAGTAAGCCTGTCTCAGAGCAAACAGTGTTTTTGAGTTTTGTTGAATCTCTTTCCCAATGCCGCCTTCTTGAATTCATGTCTGACATAGCGCTACCTAATGACCCTATTTGCACTAATGAGTTATTGCAATTGTTCTGAACCAACCCTTCATTGAGATATCTTGAGCTGGTTTTCGACCATAAAAATAGTGTACTGAAAGTACTTGGAGCTCTCAAAACCAACTTTGGGTTAAAGACTCTGATCTTAAGTGAAAGCCACTCATACACAAAGCAAGAACAGAGAAGACACGTACAAAAAGCAAAGATATTTGAAAAAGGCAGAACTGAGTTAGAACTAATGATTTACCTAAACAATGAAGCAGTGTATCCAGATGTTTTCCCACCATTTAGCACTTATTACCTATAAATACATTTCTTATAAGTTCTATTCAACACAATTCCATTCCATAGGGGTTTTGGGGTTTTGGGGTTTTGGGG